CTCTATTTGTGTGTAGAAATCAGGAATGTTACCATCTCTATGAAATTCTTATTTTGTCACTAGAGGGTGCTAAAAGCTATGAAGTATTTAGTGTAGCACTAGTTTTATTTTGCTCTCTCTTAACTGGTATTATATTTTACCTTTATGGATGTTCTCCTTGCCCCAGAAGCAGGGTTTATAATGTCCAGTGCTGCGTGCATACTGAATACGTGCACACTTACCTGAAATTAATACATTCGTTTCTTCCTAAAAATTAGTATTAGTTAGTTATTGGCAATAGTGCACACTATTGCACACTCACTACCTACTCTGTTCATCCTTTCACTGGTTGGTGGCTGATAGGCTCTCTTAAAAATTGTCATCTTCAGTAAATAGTGGGTGCTCTATAGGTGCTTGGAATTCTATTTTCTTGGGGTTTTTTGAGAGTAGGAAACTAAGACTACGTTGATTAGAATAAATGAAAACCAAGGTGGGACGCAGCCTTGGAAAGGGTCTTTGGGAGTAAGGGTCTCCTGAGAAAAGATCACTTAGGTATATTGGTCTTAGGGGTGCAGTCTGTTTAGATTATGCCTTGTTTTCCATGGCTTTGAAATAAGGTATTAGTGGCAAAGCATTTTATAGCCATTTTCTAGAAATCCCTTTTCCCTTCATATGGGATTTCATATTATTATGTATTACAAACCATAATTTAAACCTGATTTTGTAAGTAACCTTATATTAGTCATCCAGCTGACTTCCAGATAACATCTCATGTAGTCTTAATTGTGTAGTCGCTATTAGTCCCCTACAGGGATAGTTTGTCTGCTGAAATGCAGCTGTCTATAGTAGACAGGGTGGGTAAACCAGGGGCAAGGCAAAGGGAAACTGCAGAGTGAATGCCTGTTCACTCTTCTGCACATAGTTCTCAAATCTCTTTGTTGTTATACAGACAGATTAACGTGTCTCTGCATCTTCTTGGACATGTCTTAACAGGATGAAGTGGGTAAAATACAGTAATAGATCCCAAACTTGTGCCATTTTTTTTCCTGATACTTTAGTTATTTTCATTTATTAGAATACCAGTCCAGTTATTTCTGAGACTTTGTTTGAAGTAAACTCTATTTTTGTTAACAGTTTTCACTCATTGCTTTGGTGTCCAGTATTTAAGTTGGCATGAAAGGAGGACTGCTCCTTTTAACTGCTGTCTCACCAGAGATGCATTTTAAAAACAAAAGGTGAAAATTTGGTGTTTTTTTCAGATCATCATGCTCTCTGTTAACTTCCATTATGTGGTAATACCAATTTTCATTGAAATCCTCGAAATCTAATTTTGACAAATACTAGTATTAAGAGGTTCTAACTTCCTTCACACAGATTTCCCTTTAATCTGTGAAGCAAATAGTTTGTCATCCAAATAAGCAATTGCTGTCAAAGCTTGTTAACTTCTCAAAATGCTTAAATTCCCTTGAATTCTCTAGAAACATTACATAAATACTACAAGTGTTTTTAAAAACTGATTGAGCACAGGGGTCCTCCTGACTTTTCTCTCACCCTCCACGATTTTAATCTCTCGGGCTGTTTCTAGCAGACATTAAGTTGACCAGGAAATTTCAGTTTTGAAAGCCATTTCTGTGGAATAATTCTGGGCCTATCTTAAGACTGTACAAATGCTAGGTCTGCTGTCTATGTGAACTATCCCTGGATAGGTTTAATGGAAACTTGTTTCAGTATTCCAAGCTCAGCATTACAATGCTCTTGATTTTCAATTTTCAAGCACTTCCTAAAAAGGTAAATGGAAATAATTAAAAACAAACCTCAAACTAGTGAGCAGCTGAATGTACATGTGCAGTTCCAGCAAAGCTATTTTAACATCCAGTCATTTTATACTTATCTGAGAAGAGACTTAAAGTTTTTGGTTTGTTTTCTTCAAGTTTTATTTCACCAGGTGTTTCTCTATAACTGAATATATTACTTTACCAATGGTCAAAATAGATCTTGGCTCTGTCCTGTGTTTTAGCCATGTCACAGACTCAAATAAAACATTAGAAAATGAATCGTGATAGATACTAAGCTTTTCACTTAAATGTTAAGGTTCTAACTAAAACTAGAGTATCAAATCAGTGATTAAGAAAGAATTTCAAGAAAGAGGCAAAAACAGATGGCAGAGTATTTTCTTCATTAAATGTTTGAGACATGTTAGCTATACTTACCCTTGCCAAGAACTAATGATAATGTCCCCTCCCTTGTGGGCAAAATGACAACAAATCTGTGTATAGGCACTGCAGTTGTGATTACTTTGTGCTCTCATTCTTTGAAGTTTCAATCAGTTATTTGAATTGCTGTATTGCGTTGAGTTAGTAATTTGCATAGGATCAAATCACTGGGGTGGATCTCTGCATTATTAAGTTTTGTTCCCTGCTGCTAAAGGCACTGCTGTCTTAGTTTGTCATTCAAAAATTAGCATTTAAATATGGTTATGTGATTCCCCTCTCCCCCCCAGCCTTCAATGAAATGCGGGTATTTTGGGTTTTCTTTCAGCTACTCAACATCTTTAAAGACAGAACAGGATAACTTACTTTAATACAATGGAGTCATTTCAGGAATTTCAGCACTTTCTGTAAAAGTAATCTTGCTCTGTGCTAAGGGTACGAGCTATACTAAAAAAAAAAAAAAATAACCATGGTAACAATAATGTTTTTCTTTCCTTTGTGGTCAGAAACAAATATGCCAAGGCACTGTTATTCTTACAGCAAGATAAGGAATAATTGTTAAGTAAAGGTTAATATAGTTTTGTCCACTTCCCCCCCGACTGTGATTTTACATGGTGAGTTCAGTTGTACAGCGGAGGCTTGCTTTGAGATCCAATTCACATAGCAGCATCTCTGTCTGCTTCCTCGGGGTATGGGACTCCCTGTGCCAGTGCAGTCTTATTCTCCACACCATAATATTCCTGTTCTATTGCCTGTGCTTCGAACACGGTGGTTACAGCATGGTCGACTTCTGATTCTCTGCAGACAGTTGGTGCAACACGTTGCCATTGAAAAGCACAATGCTGCTGTCTGTAGTGATGGAATAATCTGTAGCATGGTTTTTTGCTAAAATGGCTTAGGAAAAGAGTTGTATACCTCATCTCGCTGAAAGGAAAGGCAGGCAAAGAGGCATTATTTTAGAAAAGGTGGAGTGAACAGAGAAATATTATTTTCCCCCTTAGGCTTTTCTTCTGTTGTGAGTTTGTTGTATCCATAGTGTTTTAGCTTAACAAGCTTTTGTTCCACCACACAAAAGAACAATGTAGGCTTTGGAGCAACCCAAGCCACTTATTTTGTGAACAGCTGTGCTTGATCGTGCCTCAGAGGTGTGAAGCTCAGACAGCTATGAAGGTTGTGTCTGTTTGATTTGATACAACCCATGCTCCATCGCCTGGAGCGTCCCAGCTTTCAGTGGAGGAGTGGGCAATGGAAGATTTATGTGGAAAAGTCTGAAACATAATGAAAACCTCATTTGGCTGGAGATGAGGGACTCTGCAGCTCTGGCCAAAATGTATAACTTGGCTTAAGTGTAAATGTCAACTTTACACCACTGTGAGTTACACCTAGTATTTCCTCCATGTCATGTCTCTAAGATACAAAACTTAGCAAATTATCTTTTTTTTTTTTTTTTTTTTAAATCTTGAATACCTTCTTTGGGAGGTTTTAGTGAAGCTAAATAATGCAAAAAATCTTCAAGACTAGTTCTCAGAATTAGCCTGCTTCCTAAAACTTGTAGCAAATATGTTGAAATGTCATCCAACCTAGAACAGCTTCGAGCGACTGAATTCCATAAATAAATAACCATGCGCACCAGGTCTTCTTTGTAAAGTGACTAAAACTGGTGATGCCTTACTCAACAGATCTGTTCCCTGTTTGCTTTCAGACTCTAATCTGTTGGTCTTTAATGACAAAGATAAACTTATGCAGTTTGTTACTACTTCTAGTTGTGCTGCCTCTGCCGGTCTAAAAGGCAGCAGAGTTCTGTCTGTGAACAGAGCTGAGAAACAGCAAATGGCTGCACAAGTGCCCTGGGGGCTCTGCAGCATCTCTGACAGGCGGTAGGGAAAATCAAGCTTTGAAAATCAGATTCATGGAAGTTTTCTGTAACTGTTGTCACTATAAAAGAAAGTTTGACAGCTTCCATTAGCATTGTGTTCATTATTTTTTTTTATAATTCAGTAGGTGCAAATATAAAATGCAATCATTTGAAATTCCCAATTGCCCCTACCATTTCTTTTGAGTGTAGTGCAATTTTTGCTACCCGTCAGTCCTCCGGAATTGTAGTTGACTTGGGACAGTGTGGTTTTTTGCTAGCAATTGACAGTTTTAGACAGAATTCAGTTGAGCTTGAAATGCCAAGTTGTTGGGGTCAATGTACAAATTACATATCCCAGCTTCCATGGTGGTGCAGTGGAGATACAGTCACTAGAGCCTGGAGTGTAGCTGGTCTCCCGTGTGTGTGATTTAGTGTGAGCAGAAGAGCCATCTTGACTCCTTATTGTAGTCTCTAGATCTCTGCTGAGATGTGAGCTCAGATGCCTACAAACAGATACCTAGACATAGGTGTCTTAATCTGGAGCTAAATCCTGCTCTTAGTCTTGCACTGCTGGTTGTAGTGTAACACTTCTTAAAAGTGTTATTTCAATTCTAATTTTTTTTTTTCTCTCAACGCATTTTGTCACTTAAGTCCGGTAATGCTTTTTTCATTATCAGAAAGCGAACTATGTCAGGCTAATTGAGGCTGAAGGATATTACATGGGTTATGTGAAGTAGACAAAAGTTAGGAAGAGAGAGGAGAAGAACTGTAGTGCACCCCCACAAAAAGATGCTGACTGATTCCAGCAGGCTTTTGACCATCAAAAAAACAGTGTGTGGCGTGCATTGTGGTTCTGTATTTGTCAGTGGTGTGTGGATGCATTGTCATGCATCATAAAAGACAGTATAGGATATTTATGTGTGCCCCTGATAAAGTGGTGCATGATGCACAGGTGCAGTAACTTTAGATCATGGCCAAGGTTCATGTCTTAGAAATTTGAGGGTGATACTGTGCCATGCTCTGCAGGCCACCTTGAGAAGAGCTCCCCAGTTGTTCAGCTCTAAAATGGAAAACTGCTGTGTCTGTTTGCATGTATAGGGAACTTGGAAGAAGTTCTCTCTACAGAAGCATTTGTCAGCAGGGGAGTATTAATTTCTTACAATTCTCTTACTAGTGCTACCTCCTCTTGAGTATAGTCCAGTATGAATTTTTGGTTTGTAGGATTCTTACTTGCTTTTAAGATTTGTCCCAGACTTCTTGTTTTTTCAAAGTCTCACTTTTAATGGAGTGTCAGAGATTAAATTTAATGAGGCAGAGCCCACCTCATTTTGGACAACACAGAGAACACTTCACATGCTTGCATCCTGTTGTAAATTTACCTAATGGGCTTAAACAGAATCTGATCACCTCTCAGGAGGTATCTGAAAATCAATACTGATTTTTTTTTTTTTTTTTTTTTTTTGGCCTGTACCCATATCTTAGATTTTGCTTGTTTTCAAATTAGTGCTTTGCATGCATGTGCTGTACAGTAGTCTGAGAGCTGCTTGACTTCTGGTGGGAACACGACACAGACTAAAGTAAATTGGATTTCATTGCTGTTGGCTCCTCCACATTACAGGGAAAGAAGACGGTAAATCAAAGGCTGGCATACTGTGCAGAAGCAGCTGCATACATTTCTTGTCTGTAATCCACAGAGGAAAGAAATGTATAATTTGAATTTGTATTTCTAATATGGGGGAAATTGCTCTTCTATATCAAATATTTTTGCTCTCTGTGTTTCCTCATTTGCTGGGGTGGTAATAATAACTGAAGTTGGAATGCAAATGTTGGATTTAGAGCTATGTTTGAAAATGTGAAACTTTAGTTTATTTGTGTTAATAACTTTTAACTGCTGCAGTTTGTGTTAAAGCTCCATGGATACAGTAGCAAGGGCAAGTTTTGCCTACGCACATGTTTTAATAGGGGCGTGACAGGGCTGTGCCATGCTTTTAAGCAATGTGCCCTTTTGGGGAGCTTTTCCCATCCCACTGGCAATTAATTGCAGCTGGTTCTAAATTTTATTTGTGAGCAGCAGTGTAATGGTAGGTATTTTTTCATAGCTAAAACTTGAGTAGATTTTGAAAGGCAAAGTCTTTACTAGTGATACTGTATCATCTGGCATTCATGTATATGTTAAGTTGGTATTGTTCTTAAGAGGGTTGGGATGGTTTATAGGAATATTCCACATACCTGATCAGTCCAATCCAAAAACATTGTAAATTGTAGATGGTTTTAGTAATACATCACTTAGTATTGATTAAATATTTGAAGCTAGAGAACTCTGGCTATCATCAGTGTTCAAGTTCAGCACTTAAACCTTGTAAACGCTATCATCAAGAAAAACATTTCCTCTTTTGAGATCCCACAGCAACCCTCAGCCATGAATTTTCTGTGGTTGGGAAAAAAAAAAAACAACCTTGTGATCTCTTTGTCTTTAGTTTATATCCTTTTTAAAAGCCATAGTTTGAGTCTCCTGCAGTGCTAATGAGACTTCAGTGCATTTTTTAAGTAGAATGTCTTCAGACCATACTTCAGCATACAGGGAGTGGGAGACCTAGTTAGTCATCCAAATTAAAGATTTTTTTTTTTTTTTTTTTTCTTCTGGTACTTTCATCAAAGAGCAGTCCTTGTAATACATTTGAAAGGTTGTGGAAAAATATGTTGATGTCAAATGAATATTACGTATTCGTTTTGAAGTCTATGAACATTTAAGTCACTAAATACATTAATACAGCTTGGAAGCGTAAGCAGTGAAATCTGCTTTGTGTTGCCTCTAGTGCAGTGCTTCACTTAGGCTTGAGTTACATGCTTTTGACAGTACAAGGAGAAGAAAATTTTTCTTCTTAATATTGGAACTCTTAAATAGTCTTATGACATCCCTTGCTCAGTTTCATCTTAAATGTCTCAGTATTCTTTTTAACTGGTCCCTAGGGAAGTTGTAGTTGTAAAACCTAAGCAGATTGATGAAAATGATAGAGAAGTTTCAACATGCTGTAAGGTTTCTTCCACCTAATGAATATTGTATGATGTATTCTCTTTTCTCATGAAGATAAAAAAAAATGTTTTAATCTGTGTACAGTTTTTAATACAATAACTATGTAAATGGTAAAGCTAGAATCTGACTGAATATTTGGTGGAACATCAGAGGTAAGTAGAGCAGATATGAGTGTTGCTAGATTGACAGTTTATTAGCAATGTTAAGCTCTTTAGAATTCTCTGCTTCTATCCTTATTCTACTTATATGCCTGTCAAACACTCAGAAAAGTCTGAGCTAGGAATGAAAGCTCTATCTCTGTGGGTGTTCGCAGCTAAATAATATTTATCTCTACCAACTGGATGAGGAAAATGGCCCAGAAAAGTAATGTATCCATTTCTGGTTCTCAGGAACAAGAGCAAAAGGCTGAAGAAGAAAGAATTCGGATGGAGAACATTCTGAGTGGTAACCCACTGCTGACCCTTACGGGCCCAGCACAGCCTCAAGCAAACTTCAAAGTGAAGAGGAGGTACTGTGATATCCATTTCCTTGTTCTGTCTCGTTACTCAGAGTCTGAAAATGTTATCACTACCATTGGTTTTTATTTCCTTCCTCAGATCTTGTCACAAGCAGTGTAATATTGAATTGGGATACTGATGCATGTAGTGATTGTCTTGTGCATTTCTCTGAACAAATCATCCTGCTACTTTGTGTTTAAAAAAAAAAAAGGGAAAGAGAGATTGAGAATTGTGTTTGTCTGATATTGTTCATAATGATACAAAAAGTAACAGGACCAAAGTTTCTCAAGAAATTTGATGTTATGCTCCCCTTTAAAATCTACCTTGGGGGTTTTGTTTCTTTGTTTTTTTTAGTGTAACTAGAATTAATAAATAACAGCCTTTTTCTGAATACAGTTCTTGTTTACAGATATTTCAACTACTGTTGTGTTTATCGAAATTACGGCCATTAGATTAAAGTTTTTTTCTGCTCTGTTCAAATGGTCATTATTTTCTGTAAAGACAAAATGACCTTTAATCTGCTGATACTCATCTCACTTCTGACTCAAGAGCATGTAGGAGGTGGCTTGGATTAGAAAAATAGATCTTTTTTTTCTTGAAGGCTAAAATCTAATCCTAATGACTATCTGTTCTTAGTACATTTAAATAGGAGGGCCAAACTTCGTTTATATAGTTTTGTAAATTGCACCTAATTTTCATACAAACTTACTGAAGTTAAAAACTTTTGTTTTCAGATGGGATGATGATGTTGTCTTCAAGAACTGTGCCAAGGGGCTAGACGAAACAAAAAAGGACAAAAGATTCGTGAATGATACTCTGCGATCAGAATTTCACAAAAAGTTCATGGAAAAATATATCAAGTAGTACAGTTTTACATGTGGTGGTGATGAAGGACTTGGAAGGTCATGGTTGTTCCCTCCCTCTCCTCCAGAATTCAAGGCCGAATACTTGGTCATGAATTCCCAAATGCTTTCCAAGATCATCAACAGCTTAATTAATAACTGCTATGTGTCTGGAGTTTTTATTCCTTCAGTATGTTTTCCTTTTCATTTTTAATTACATCAGTTTGTGTTTCATTAGTGTTTTTCTGTTCACGTGCGTTTACTTTTACTGGCCTTCTTGTAAATGGTAGAAGAGAGAAGCTGGTTTGCAATAAATACTTCTAATTGTTTCAATTGCTTTCCAAAACAACCTGTATTTGTAATGATGGTGGTTTGTAACTTACACGACCTATATAAATGTCAGTATGTATTATCAAAGATGGGGAATAGCTGAGTATGATAAGCAGTGTAAACTGAGAAGAGCTATACTTCCTATAGGAAACTGGACTTACTTCCTCTTAGTAGCTAGTTAGAAACTGAGTTAATAGTCTTTAGTCTCTTCTTCAACCAAGTTATGGTTCGGTGGGGTAGCTCCAAGTTCTTAGCTGCCCTGCTTTCTGGAAAGGCTCTCTTGGCTCAGCACTTGTGCGGTGATACCGTGTAATGTTTGGGGGAGAGGGAATTGCCCTGTAGAACCGTGGGGGTTTTTCCTCCTTGATAAACCATCGCAGTGCTCAGTCCCTCAGCCACCACCACGTGGCCGCGAGGTTCAGTCTGTGTGTGCGAGCATTTTTATTAAATGAGTGATCTCCTTAAGATACCATAGTACACTTTGTTTACTTCTTAAATGTCCCTTTTAACCCTTAATAGGACAATATAAAAACATGAATGACTGAAAAAAAAAAAATCTCAGTTGTGAAGGATTTCACACCCCTGGCTTCTTCTGGCATCTCAGTTGCGTTTGAAATCTTGGTCAATTGATGCACTGGCTATGAACCTAACATTTGTAAAATGTAGTAGTTACCTCTCTACCTAGATGGCTACAGTAGCAGAATTCAGATGTGTTTATGTAAAATTCTTGCCCTTTTCCTTGTCTATGTTATGCTTATCTAGTTCATTCTTACAGACACTGTTTTATAGTAATACTGTGATTTTCAAGCTCTTAATTTGAAAATATATCTGATTTTCTTTTTAAGAGAGTAAATGTAGAGCACAATGTTTTAGATTTTTGTTGGGCATGACTCCAGTATCCTGCAAGAGCTTTCATTAGCTTTAGTTGTATTTTCCCCCCTTTCATTAAGCTATGCATAGTGTACTAATGCCAGTGGCTAATATCCATATTTACTTGGAAGTGAGATTTTCAGCATGCTTACGGTCATGTGCGCTCCTACAGCTACTGGAGGAATATGTGTTTGTGTTACTTCTGCTGCCTGCCTCATTATAGTAATGATTCTTGGGAAGCAGAAAAATGGGTGTAGTTTGTAATTCTCTCTCTTAAATTAAACCAACTAAAATCTTGGTAGTGTCAGAGTCTGGCATTGGAGAAGCCAGCTGCCGCTTTAGGTCTGACCTAACAACATAGTTCTCATGGCAACAACAAAAAATACATCGGTCTCGCAGTATTACAAGATATAATCACTGTGCCAAAGTGAGCGTACAGTTTTATTGGAGAGGGGGAGACATAGTTGAAACTCCAGTTCCATGCCTTCATGGAAACCATAATGCCATCGTTTGTGTTCTTGAAGTAATGTAACTCTTTTCTTAGAGAAAATAATACTTTTAAGAAGTTGGATGGCCAGGGCTGAATGAGGTGGTCTTCAGCTGTGCAGGCAGTTTTTCTCCACACCTGGAGGAACATCCCTTTCTTAAACTTGTGCATAATGCATAGTTGTACTCAGTCGTTCTTTCCAGTAGCTCTTTCCCTCCCTGGTTCTGGAGAAAGAGCTGTAGGGGCCATATAGCTCCAGGCTGCAGCTGTATTTGAGGTTTTTTGTTGGCATTGTTCAGCTCAACCACAGAATTTGCAGATCCTATCTCTAACTTCCCCCCTCCAAAGCTTTTGAATTTTAGCCTCCTGCAGTGTAAGCTGACCCACGATCTAGGGACTGAGCAATACACAAACACAATTTGAAAATTAAGGAGTCTGGAGCCTTATCTCTTCATGGGTTTTGCATCATTAACTACTGAATTTTCTTCACCAGTACTGGAAAACCATAAAGCAGTCTGTGCTTTTTGTTGGAGAAGAGCTCTGTGCTTTCACTATTGATGCTGTATTGATGTTTCATTTGGTACTGTGCTGCTTGTAGTCATCTAGGAAAAGACAAGCAGATCATTTGTTTCTGTAAAACTGCAGTGTGTCTGTGAGTTCTTAAAAAAAAAAAAAAAAAACCAACAAAAAAAATCCAAAACCACCAGACTGATGTTCTGTACCTCTGCTCCCAGCGTAATTTTTTCCAAGAACCTCTGTTGAGTATGACAAATAACTTTCAACAGAGGCAGTGGAGCTGGCAAGGCAGCTGTTCTCAGGAGGTGAAGTGGAAGAAAGTTAACATTCGGCACTTCAAGGAATGTAATATTTTACAGTTCCTAGCATCAGGATTGTTTAATCCTGTGTTTTTGCAAGCAACACCTGAACTCACTGTAACTCGTGGCTTGAAACAAAGCCACTTGCTTTATAAACAGTTTCCCCCTTGTTTATGGTTATTTTTGGTGTAGCATTGGAACTGAAAACCAGGATCTGTTTTCCATAGGGACTAATACTTAAACTTCTAAGGGTTTTTTAAAAAGCCTTGTCTTTCAAAATTTGTCTTGGAATATGTTTTATAATTCTAAAGGGATTAATAGTATGAGGAGTAAAGCTTAATGATAGTCCTGCAGCTGACAATAATTGTGCTCTGTGTATACAAGGTTCTAAAATGTTTGTCATCTATTTGTCTCCCTCAAGTAGGTGGCTGAATATTAAAGGCTGCATATTGCAACCAGCAAAATTATTATCCACATTTTTCATGATTTCATGTAGTCATAGGTATCACGTAGGCATCGTATGAATGCCTGGAAGGAGGTTTTGTTTTTGTTTTTTTTTTCTTTAAGATTTAAAAAAAAAAACAAACCTTTTTAGTGAGTTCCAGTTCCTCTGTTAGCTTCAGTTTTGTTTGAAATAAAATCCCGGGGCAGAGGTGATCTGCTACTTGCACTATTTACCTTTGAGTGCCTCATGGGCAGCCCAGCTGGTGCCTGGTGTGGTGACAGCCTGGTGTCTCCTTTCAGCCCTGCACCTATTGGTTCCTATCGAGCTGCTGAAATTTCTCTCTGCTTTTTCCTACAGCTACAAATACCTTGAAGTCTTTCATGCTGGAGGCGAGATCTGAGCACAGGGTCAAACCATCAAATGGATGGGGCATGTTGCCTTGAAGCGCTTCACTTCAAAGGAAGATCTGTAGGATTCAAGCCTTGAAGGGATGTGCTGATGTTTCTGATGCTCAGAAAGTGCTTCAGGCTCAAGCGTTTATTCGTATCTGCAGTCATGGCTAGTTGGAGCCTGAAGCCTTAATTCTCTTCTAAGGAAAGTCAGAACACATGTAGGGGCTTCTCTAATTTTCTCTCTTTCTCAGTGCCTAGTGCTCTGCAATACAGATTCAGGGGGAGGGAAAGAAAATACCCATAGAAATGTTTCCATCTGCAGAAGTCCTCCTTCCATCTCCTGTCAACTTTTAGAATGAAATTTATTTAGTTGTTGGTCAAGAACAAATCTTCCTGCCAAATTTTGTCTTGCTTATTTGGGAGAAAAATTTTGGGATGCTTTTTCTAAAGAAATAAAGCCTATGTTTTGTTGTAAGTTCAGCTACTTTTTCCCTAGGCAGAGTGACATATCGTCACACTTAGTCATAAAAGCAAATGCAGCTTCATTACCGTACTTTATGTTCCCCAAGATACGGTTCAAGCAGAGTGTAAATAGGCACATTTGGAAAAGTCGTATTTCCTAAGAACGGCTCCTCTGAGTTCTTTTTTTTGAATTGGGGATAAGCAGAAAGAATGATGTTTCCATAGGTGTCCAAGTCACCCATTTTAAATAAATTTTTAAAAAGTCTGAATTCTTACATTGTTCAATTACAGATATATTTTGCCATTGTGCTGCTTTCCTCCTTTGACTGAGATCATACAGGTTGGCTTTTATGAATTCCAGACTTGACTTTGTTTTCTTGTCCAAGGTGGGCATATCATGGGATGTAACTGAGGAAGAATGACCATCATACTGTGACTGGCAGGGAAATGAGATTGAAACTTAAATAGTGACTATGTCTAGTTTTTAAATTGCTTCAGTTCAAAAAGTTGGAATATACCTAAGGGATATGATAAAAGTATGTATGTGCAGTATGGGCATTTTTTCCCCTTTGTAGCCTCTGACCAGCAGCAGGAGCAGAAACTTAATGTCACTGATCTTATCAAAATTTGATCTTTCAAGTGGAAACTGCAGCTTTGGTGATTAAAAAAAAAAAACCACAAAATTGCTGGGAATTCTAATGTTCCTAGTGTAGCTCTAACCAGAAAGAAAAGTCGTCTAGATCTAAACAAATTATATATCCTAATCCAAATCCCAACTTGCTACCAAGCCTAAGAAATACCTTCTGAAGTGGAGGGAAGTGGCACTGTATGGGAGGTGGAAAATTGAAACAAAAAAAATGGGTAGGTCTGCTCTCTCCTGAAATCAGTAGCATCTGGATAGGAAACAAAGATGACTTCTAAATTCTACTATAATATAATAATTTTATAGCTGACAACAGGGATCTGTTATGCTAGGTTTTATGCAAATGGGGACTGTAAAGCAGGCTGTATTCTGAAGAGCCTGAATGCCCAGAAGTTTGGGTGAAGGGCAGGATGGAGACAGACTGTTCAGTCCCACAAAAAATTGTATTTGGGAGCCGAGTGGTGAGCCCCTCTCCCCTTGGTGCCTGCCTGCTGCCTTACTTACAGATCTGCCCCTCCTCCCAGCTCTTTTCTTAGAAATATGCTTGTTGAGAAGTTGGGCTATTTGGTTTTGAACTGAATTATTTTTTGAACTGGTCTTCCTCTGGTGGAAAAGGGTCATTTTTACTGCACTGGGAGAACAAGTTGTAAGTTTGCACTGAATAAGGGTGGAGGATAGATCTGCCAGTCGGTCTGCTTGCTTTCGCGTGGGGTCCCCAGGGGTTGATCTCTGTCCTTTGGGGTGGCCCGGTTGGACTTGGTGGCACACAAGTTGTTGGGATTGGTGGGGTGCGTGGATGGTACGTTCTGCTGAAGCATCATGTGCTGAACCACCCCCTGGGTGGATGGTTGAATCCCAGCACTAAACTTTTGGATGTTCTTATTGCAGGATAAATTAACTCT